GGGGAGGGGGTAAGAGGGGCCAGGTGGTGGAAAAGTACAGAATCTTCTTGGCCTGTGCCTTGAAACATGTCATGGTCTATACGGTACACTGCCTTGAATTATGATCTACCTGCTATTCTTCAGAAGATATGGTACACTGCTTGAGTTATGGTCTCCCTGCTATTCTTAAGATGATATGGTACACTTTTTTGAGTCTATCTGCAGTTGCCAAGCAGGATCTTGCAGTTGCCAAGCTTCAGGGGACATTGTGCAGGTGGGATGCCTCATTTTCTAATACAATCAAGGGATTAGTCCATTAAATATGTCCGAGTCCTCAGGATCCAGTCATGTCTTCAATAGTGCCCAAAGATGGGGACCACTCTTCCAATACACAAACCGTTGTGAGGAACACTTCTTACGAACCCCTGCAGGGAATACTTCCTATCCAAATCATAATTATTTATCTTTGTCCTCCACCTCGTAGTACAAAATGTATTATACCATCTCTAAGAGTCCCCATAACCTTTTTTTTGTTTTGGTTTTGTGAGACAGGGTTTCTCTGTGTGTCTCTGGCTGTCCTGGAACTCACTTTGTAGATCAGGCTGGGCTCAAACTCAGAAATCCGCCTGCCTCTGCCTCCCAAGTGCTGGGATTAAAGGGGTGGGCCACCACTGCCTGGCCGTGTCCCCATGACCTTGACAGTTACAACACTGTTCAAAAGTATCCTAAACATGATCCCCTTCAAAATCAGAAAGAAAATTACACACTTCCATTATACGATGACACAGAATAACCATTACTATTCTAACACGCAGGCCTGGAAAGGAGAGATGGGAGAAATCAAGATTCAGCCACAGCAGACAAAATCATTAAATCATGTCTGTTATCTGTGGCATGTAATAACATGATCGGCAGCTTTAAATGCACCTGCGTAGCTGCTCTTGCCCATCATATCATGATGAGAACACATAGGGAAGTTTAAGTTTTGTAATACAGTTGACTATGGACAAGACTAGAGAATCTTCTAATGATGAAAATGTCTGCTTCTAGTCTTCTCTAAATTGGCCAAGCTCTTCCAAGCAAGAGAATAAAGCAGAAGAAGCAGCTGATAGACTGAATGTTCAAATGCTTAACAGGTAGTCCATAGATGACAATAGAACTGGACCAACAATTTCTGCAGCATCCTCCTCTTAATGGCTGGGATTTGGCCACAACTGATAGTTTCCATCCCAGAATTGACCAGAGATTCATATAACTTATATTTTAGTTTAAATCTTCATATTTTCAAACTCAGGATACATTAAAAATGTTTATTCTTATGGTAATAATTAAGATGATCTTCCTAGTATAAGAATAAAACAATAGTATAAAATCATACATAGCCAGAGTGGTGGAAATAATTGAAGACTTCTCTGTTGACCTCATTTGAGAATAAAAACGGTGTCATTGATTCAGAGATTGACATAGCAAGTGATCCAGCCACTGTCACTTGTGTTTGGTATAGACTCGAAGTTTGGCAGCTGTAACTTGGTAAAGCGCTTGTCTAGCAGAAGTAAGACAAGTTTGGTTTCCACAACAACAATAAAAAAAATCACAGAAAATGTTTTAAAGTAAAGAAAGAAAAACCAGGGAGCAGAAAAGGTTTATGGTGAAATAAAGACAAGGCTTGGGGATTCTCTGGTTAGATGTTAGCACTGGGAAGGTGAAGAGAGATTGAATGGACAGCAGGGTGTCTTATGGTTTGGGAGCATATTAGCATGAGCCAAAAAAAGCCAAATAAATAGCTTTCTTGAAGTACAAATGACATACGTTAATTTCCACAAGTTTAAAGCATACAATGTAGTGCTTTTAAACACAACACCTGTTGCACACGCATACACACGTGCGTGCGCGCACACACACACACACACACACACACACACACCCCTGTGAAGTCATCATAAAAGGATCATCTCCATCCTTTTCCAAAACTTCCTTCTTCCTCCATATTAATATCTTTTATCTCTAGCTGGCTTTGTCCTATTCCCAAGTGACCACTCACCTACAGCCACTCTTCATTGGCTTTCATTTCCCTCAAGTTTTATATAAATGGAACCATATGTTATTTATTTGGTTTCTTTCATTCAGCACAGTAACTATGAGATACATCAAGGCTATTACAGCAATTGTTTGTTATTATTGCTCACTGAGCAGTGTTTCCCTGTGTAGATATATAACAATGTGTTTTCCCATTTATCTGTTGATGAGTGTTTATCTGGGATAATAGCTTTTGGCTATTACAAATAAAGCTGCTGCAGGCTGTCATGTATATGTCTTTGTAGGACTATATATTTTCCTTCCTCTTTGATAAAGATCCAGAATTGGAATAACTGCATCACAAGTGGGCTCCAGACACCTTGAGATATCTCTATCTATCTATCTATCTATCTATCTATCTATCTATCTATCTATCTATTACACACACACACACACACACACACACACACACACACACACACATATATCCATAGTTGAAACATACTTTGGAAAGATTTCTATTAGTCTGTGGGCTTTTTTTTATTTGTTAACAGAAAGTGTGGAAAAATTCCACTTTAATGAAGTCAAATTTATCTTATACTTATGGATTATGTTTGCCCAATGCACAGTTTTTTCAGTGTTTTCTGTTTTATAGTTTTACAATAAGTTGTGTGTATGTGCTGTATGTGCACACACATGAAGGTTAGAGGTCAATATCAAGCAAGTTAATCCACAATTTTCAACATTACTTTTTTGGTACAGTATCTCCCACTGGACCTAGAGCTCAATTCTACCAGCCTGCTAGCTGATGAACTCCAGGGATCTTTGCCTCCCAACACTAGGATTATGTTCTAGTTTCTTTTGCCTTTACTTTGATAAAACATCCTGATCAAAAGTAACACAGAGGAGGGAAAGGTTCACTTGGCTTAAAATTCCAGATTACAGTTCATTAGGGAACTCAGGACAAAAACTTGATATATTTGCTATTCCACGCAGTGTAATCTCAGACCTTCGAACTCACTTTTCCAGCCAAAGAGCACAGCAGGAACACTTGAGACTACTGCTTGCAGACTGGCTTGTCCTCATTTTTTTTTTTTTTTTTTTTTAGAAAAAAAAAATACAATTCAGGGATGAACTGCCTGCCTGCCTAAGGATGGTGCTGCCCAGAGTGGGCGGGGCTCTTCTACCTCAATCAATAATCAAGGTAATTCCCCACAAACAGTCAGCAGGCTAATCTGATATATGTAGGTCCTAAATTGAGGCTCTCTTCTCAGGTCGTGAGAAGTTGGCATTAGAAATTAACCAGAACAGGTTACAAGTGTATATCACCATGCCTGGCTTGGGGATAGTACTCGGGTCTTCCTTTTTCTGCAGCAGGCACTTTTCAGGCTGAGCTATTTCTCCAGTCCTGTGATCCTTCTTCAATGAACTTCTTGAATACAGTAAGTATAGTGATAAGATCCAGCATTTTGCATATGGAGATATAACTATTCCAGCAAGATTCATTTTTAAAAGCTACCATTTCTCCACCTTTATGAAACAATAATTTTCCACCTTTGTATGAGCTTATTTTGAGTTTTGTTTTACTTCATTGATGACTGTCTACCCATTGAATGACTGTCTACCCATATCATGACATTATGATTACTATAATCGTTATAATAAGTTTTAAAATCAGGCATTTTTAGAAATCAAATTTTGTTCTTTTGGTTTGGGCTATTGTAGGTCCTTCTGTATTTTCACAAGAATTTCCCAATCAGTTCATTATTTTTCTAAAGAAAATGTTCAAAATATATAAAATCAAACTATACAAATTTTCTATCTGTCTGTCTGTCTGTCTGTCTGTCTGTCTATCTATCTATCTATCTATCTATCTAATCTATCTTCATATTGTAGGGTTGTGGGTCTGCGTCTGCTCCACCACTGGGCACGGCTGCTTCAGGAGGTAGAACACAGGGAGTTTGACTGTGCTTATCTGGCACTGCTGCTGGGTGTGTGCTAGGCGGTGGAAAGCTCACGAGGTCGGATTGAATCGTGGGGGTTCTCAGGCTCTTGGACATCCAGGTGCTGCTGGATGTTGCAGAAGAGCAGAGGACAGAGTCAGGGCCTATGGGCTGGGGACAGCGTCTAGCCTGGGACTGGGCCTGGGGGTGGGCAGGGAAGGGGAGCTCCCACTAGCACCAGTGGGGATAGTCCTTGGCTTGATAGAGGCAAGCTTGGTGGCAATTGTGGCTAGGAGCACAGAGAGACCTTCTATGGGAGATTAGGCTGTGGCTCTGGAGGCGAAGACCTTCTTCATGGCTCCCCACAGCTGATCTTGGTGAGAAGAGCTAGTCCATAGTTCCAAACAGTTAATTGTCATGGCAAAAAATGGATGCATAAAACCATACCCCACTTCTCAGGGTGGGCCTGAGATTAAATACCTTTTGCAGGGAGGAATGTCTGGGAAGGAAAACTTATTGGTTATGCCCTCCTGGGCTCTAAGTACCTCATTAGCATGGAGAACTCTGTCTTGAGCCTATGTGACCACAAGTCACGGTTTCCTGAGATATTGAAATATTCCTTGTAAGGACGCTAATTTGTACAGTTCCTTCTCAGCATTAGCCATTGTTTTGTTTTCTCCGTACACATTTTTGTCATCAGTAGCTTGCTGCTATGGGGCTGTAAACTTCCAGAGGGCAGGGTCTGGTTTTAGCTCCCAGTGAACCTCACTTCTAGGTTGCAAGAAATATTGTTAAGTAAATGAACAAAAGTTAAGGCAAGTAAGTACGGTAGAGTAACGTTTCTTTTGGAGACTTCTCGAGGCTTATGACGGGCGCGTCATTCAACCCTTTGGGTGAGAACGTGGCGCGCTCTCTGGAAAAAACAAACAAACATGCAAACAAACAAACAAGAGAAAAAACGGAATCCTGGCCCCTGTACCGCTTCTGGACACCTCTGAGGAGCTCGCCGGATGTACGCAAAGGCGTGGGGGCGGAGCTCTGGTAACCCGGGCAACGTCCCGGAAGCTGCTTCTCGCGTTCCCCTGTGGCGGGCTCTGTGGTTCTGGAGGCTGAAGTTTTAGTCGGGGCGGAGGCGGCAGTCGGCCAGCGGCAAGGCAGGTTGGGTGAAGCGGGGCAGGCTTGACGTCCGCGCTTAGGGCGAGGAGAAGCGACCGGCGTCTCCGCCTCGGTCCCGGCGCCCGAGTGGGCGTCCTCATCCCAGGCTGGCCGCTGGCCTCGCAGAGCCCGAAAGTGCGGTTCCGGGTAGCGCCTGGTGCTCCTGCGGGACATCGGGCCCCGCGCACGCGCGCCGCGTTCCCGCACCCGACTGGCGGGAGAAATCTCGAGGCTGTTGGGTGTTCCAGATGTTTATTATCCAGCTAGGGAGTGGCAAAGTATTCAGGATGTTGGGACAGGGCGGTCCTTTAAGTTGAGCGGTTAGGACAGGGAAAGGCTGCTTGAGAGTTTGGGGCAGGCTTGGCCTTGGGAGTCAGAAGTATGAAATTGCTCCAGATGGTGCATGGCACTGCTTGTGAAGATCGGATCTCAGGATGTGTGGGCGGGAAAACCAGGAAGAAAAGGCAGTCGGGCTGCACGAAGAGAAGCTCTTGAAGTTGGATGTTTTCTCTACAGTGGGCTCCATTAAAATCTTACGAGGAAGTAAAACATTGAGATGTGTATCCCTGTAGCTGGGTGAGATTGATGGCAGGGACAGTGTTCTTGTCCTCCAGTTTTCATACTAGTTAAGGTAAATCTGGCAGAATTCCACCATCCCTCCTTAAAAGCTTGCGAGGGCTTCCTATGATCTTTTGTATAGTGCGCAAATTGCTGTGGCCCTCAGTTTGCTTTCTAGACTGTTATTGTTCAGACTAAAACAAATTCTTTAAATGCTCTCACCCCCCGCCCCCCGCATAGATCATTTTCTTTCTGTTGCTCTTTTATTTACTCTTTATTTTCGCCCCTACTTTGTGAAAGGAATTAAGGAGAGGAGGCAGCTTTTCTTCATATGTATTGAAGATTAGTTACTTCCTTGACGCAAAGTATTGACTTTCAGGCTTGCCTTTTGTAACAAGTCGTTTAGTTATGGTCCTTTGAGAAACCTACCTGAGAGGGCACAGGCTACTTCTGTCTTTGTTTTATTGGTGCCTGGCTCTCAGCAAGTACTTTCAAAGTTATTTGATACGTGGAGTGGATGAATGAATGGAAAAGACGCCTTACAGGAAAGTTAATAACAGGCTGTCCAGAATTGTTCCTAGTAGAAATGGAAAAGAGTGGACAGATGGGCGGGATATTTCAAGGAAGGGTTTATAGATTGTGTTATGTAGCGGACAAGGAGACTATTAGGAACCAGAGGCGATACTTAAGCTTTAAGCAGGAGCAACAAGAAGGATGTCAATTCTCTTAGTTACTGAGTCAAACAGGTATCTAGATCAGAGGATCGGGAGGGAAGTGCATTACGAGCTGTATCTTACTGTACTCTGAGGTATTTGGAAGGGGCAGTGAATTTACAAGAAAGAACGCTTGATGTTTTAAGGACAATTAGGAAACATTAATTGTTTGGTTATGGTCGTTTAGTTGTGTGTCTGCATGCCCCGGATGTGTATAGCTTTGCTCAGAGGTTTCGGCAGGATCACTAAGGGGGCCGCTGGACCTCTTGGTGGTCTAGAAAGCAAGCTCAGTGAAAGTTGGCACAGGATTAGACTCAATTGCAGTTTTACTGCCATTGCTCATCCAGTGCATGGGATGCAGTAGGGCCCCCCAGTATTGGGTGAAGGGATATGTCTAGGAAGAACATAGGACAGGGACAAACCTAGATGAAGGTCCTTGGTTAAGTTTTACATGAGAAGAGTCCAGTGTAGTCTGAAGAATAGATGAAATAGCAGGAAAAAGGGTGTTGTGGAAGCCATGGAAGAGGCCTGTGAGTCAGTGTGTGGATCAGGAAAGAGCCTGAGAAATAAGAAGGGGTTGGTACTCATAGCATTAGGAAGCAGTTAATATTCCTCATTTTCTCCACACAGGCCCCACCTCTGCAGGGTACAGTGATACTGTTTACTGCCCTTAAAATACCTCTAGACTCTGTTGTGACTCAAAAACAATACTCATTTTCCTAAGTTCCCGACAACTGCCTTGTAGAGGGAAACAGGCACATGGACCTTGGACCCCTGTGTTTAGCTACTCCTAAGATTTTCCATGCTTCAGATTTAGAACTGTTTCCAGGGTTCAGGCTGGGAGAGTTTTAACCTATGAAAAAAAGTAGTATTTTAAATATAATTTGAAATAAAAACTCCCTCCCTTTTAACGAGTTGCATGTTTTTAACCTCAGAGTTAATCCATTGTTTGTAGTTTCCTAGCATGTACTTTACAGTGACACTGTCAGTTCCTTCCTCTCCGCATTATTATCTGTGTCACTGTGAGCAGTGTGATTATGTTCTCTAAGCCTTATTTAACTCATGAGAAAAGAATTAATAATTGCCACTGATGTCATCAACACTTAACTAGGACTTAGTATGTGTCAGGCAGGGGTTCCAAACAGATTACATATTTAATTAGTTTCATTTTAGAGTTATCGACAAAGCTCAAGAGTGAATCCACAGAGTTTGATTCCAGGCTATATTCTTAGCTACTATACCGTGCTGTCTCTCAAGACCGAGTATGTCTCACAGAGTTGTGGGATTAGTGCTAAGGCTCTTCATTGAGGATGCATATATATTACCATCAGGTACTTTGTACATGTAGCTCTTGTATTTTGCTTTTTTACATTTGACTTTTTCTTTCAAGTACGTATGGTGTGTGTGTGTGTGTGTGTGTGTGTGTGTATGGAGAGGTCAGATGTTGCTATTGGGTGTCTTGGTTCTCTGTGGGAAAAATAGGCAGCAGCGGTGGTGGATCCTGGAGGTGTTCCACGCTGGCTGGTCCCACATACACGAGAAGGTTTGGGGTTCTAAAGGCTGGAGGCTTTGGCGATGGCAGGCCCCAATGACACGAGGAAGTCCTTGGTTCCAGAAAGGTTTATTGTCATGGCGGATGGTGGATGGATTTGGCTGTGTCCCCCCCACCCCCCACCCCTCACCCCCTGAAACTCAGGGCAGACCTGAGTTAAATAGGGAGGGAGAAAGGGGGAGGGTCTGGTAAGGAATGCTTCATTTGCTCCGCCCTCCGGCCTTCATTAGTATGTAAATCCCTAGGGCCTGAGGCCTATGGTCACACCCTCTGCCTGTGCACTCTGGGAGGGGCTGTAATGGCCTATGTGACTGAACAGTGTAGGTCTATGGAGACTAGACTGCTTTTCAGGACCCTGGGTTCTGGGGATGTGGCCAAACGCCTGCCATTTCTCACTTAGAGTCTCAAGGTTCCAGGCCCATGCCCAGCCATGAACCAAGGTACCCTTATGCAGTCCCACAGTTCTCTATTTTATATATTGCAGTAGGGTATCTCCCTTGAGTCTAGAACTTACTGATTTGGCTCATGTAGCTGGCCAGTTTGGGAGTTGCCTATCTCTCCTCCTGAGGTTACAGGGCTGCCCTGCACTCCCGGTTTTCATAGTTAATATACTCAAACTTCATCCACAGTGTAGCATATGTCAGTACTTTATACCTTATTGCAAAATAACATCCCAATTGCATAGATATATCACATATACTTATATAGTCATCAATTAATGGGCATTTTGAGATGTTTCCACTTTTGTCTATTAACTAGAATATAGTTGTGGACATTCACTTACAAGGTTTTCTACGGACTAATATTTTAAATTCTCTTGAATGTGTATGTAGGGGAATTGCTGGGTCACATGGTAATGGTGTTTAAATTTTTGAGTAACTTCCCACTGGACTTCCAAAGTGCCTATGTAAATTTATATTCCAATCAACAAATATATGAAAATTCCAGTTTCTCCATATTCTTGTCAGTACTTATATTTTTTTTTCTTATTAAAGTTACCCTCGAGTGGTTTTGACTGTCATTTAATTATGTTAGTTGTTTTTCAAGAAGGTTTATCTTATATTGCATGAATATTTTGCCTGCATATATGTATGTTCACCACATGCTGCCTGGTGCCTTTGGTGGATAGAAGACAGTGTCAGACCCCCTGGAACTGGAGTTACAGATGGTTGTGAACCATCTGTATGTGGTAGGAATTGAACTCAGGTTCTCAGGAAGAACATCAAGGGTTCTTAACCACTGAGCCATCTCACCAGCCCCCGATTTGACAATCCTTTTTTTTTAATGTGCTTATTTACCATCTGCAGTATCTTATTTGGAGATACCTATTCAAGACCTATGTCCACTTAAATCTGGTTGTTTGAATAGTCCAGTTATGAGAATTTTTTATATATATTCTAGATACAAGGTAAATGATTTGAAAATAACTTTTGCTATTGCATTAGGTATCTTTTCACTTTTTTGATTGTACCTTTGAGTATAATATTTAAAAATTTTGATGAACCAAACTATCATTCCCACATCACAGTTTCTTGTGCCTTAGGTTCTGTTCTCCAGCCTGACCTGAGGTCCACAGCTATTTACACTCATGTTTTCTTCTAATAGTACTACAGTTTTAGTTCTAACATTTTAATATATGACTTAACGTTCAGCTAATTTTTGTACCTGTACGAGGTAGAATCTGAATTTTTCAAAGGAATATTGAAAATATTACTCTTTGAATTGAGTTGTTTTGGCACCTTGTTGGAGTGTAACTGTCTTTAAATACAATGGTTCATTTCGATTTCTGCCTGTTTCGTGTCCAGTTAAATGTTGGTTATGTTTCTACTACAAGTGAACTTCACAGTTGGTTAACTCTTTGTCCCTTAATTACTTCATCTATAAAATGAGTCAAAGTAGTAGCCACTTCATGGAGCTCTTGTATTAAAAAAAAAACTAATAGGTGCAAAGAGCTTAGAACAATCTGCATATAGTAAGTACCTAGACTGTCTTAGCTGACGCTTCATTACTTCCACTACAGCGTTACTGGTATCACCACTGTAAGACTTAATTGTTGGTGACAGATGATACTGAGAATATTGTGTTCATATGTAGAATTGAAACCATATTCCTTTCCTCACTCTGTAAAACTTCTATTCAGAACTGATCAGTAACCTTAATGAAAGGTGATGTGAATCTCCTAGGGGAAACCAGGAGAGCTTGTCAAGATTCAGGCACAGGCAAAGACTTTCTATATGAAACTGTTGACAAAAGTGGGCCGATGAGATGCACGGTAGGTTTTGCTGCCGAAGTTTATCCCTGACATATAAATGGTGGAAGGAGAAAACCAAGTCCTATAAATTGTCCTCTGGTCCTCATACGCACACTGTGCATGTGCTCCTTCTTCACCCCCAAAGATAAGCAAATACATATAATAAAAGAATTGATGATGATGTTTGGCCATTTTTAAAAGCTGGACACTTGGAACTCAAAGAGTGAATATGGGTAAAAGTATTTCCCTATTGTATTTTAGTTATATGACAGGGCATTGATAACCAGAATATAGAACTTAAAAAAAAAATAAACACCAAAAGAAGACGTCAACTAATTAGTGGGCAGATGAACCAAACAGAGTTTTCAAAACAAGTACAAATGGCCAATAAATACACGAGAAAAATGTTCAGGAGCTGGACAGATGGCTCAGTACTATTCTTCTGGGGGACTGACTGAGTTCGGTTCCCAGCACCTATGTTGGGTGGTTCATGATCACCCAAAACTCTGGCTTTATGAGTTCTGACATCCTCTTCTGACCTCTGTGCACACACAGAGAAATAGCTCTTTTTTAAAAAAAATGTTTGGTATCTTCAGCCATCAGTGAAATGCAAATCAAAGCCACATTGAGAGTCCACCTCACCAGAATGGCTGTTGTCAAGAAAACAACAAATATTAGGATATTGGGAGCTGAAGAGGAGCCCCTGTATGTTGCTGTTAGGAATGTAATTAGTACAACCAGTATAGAGGTTCTTCAAAACTAAAAACACAGAAAGAACCATCTTACAATTGTGGTTGTACCACTCCTGAGTATATACCCAAAGGAGTCTAACTAAGATTACCATGCATACGTGTACATCTATGCTTATTACGACACTGTTCTCAATAGTCAAGCTATGAATTCAGCCTAGATGTCCATCAGCAGATAAGTGGATAAAGGAAATGTGATGTATATAGGGAGTATTTATTCAGCCACAAAAGGAATGAAATCTTAAGTACAGGAAAATAGAACCAGAAGCTATGTTAAGTGGAAATAAACCAGACTTAGAAGTATTCCTTGTTTCCTCTAGAGTTTAGAAAAAGATATGAAAGTAGGAGGGAGATACTTGATTGTGAAGAGGAAGGGGACCAGTTAAAGGGAGAGGAGAGAGAGGACAGTTGGTGTGATAGAATCAAAGTATGCATAGACATGTATGAAAATATGAAACTCATATGTTGATAAAACTTGAAATAAAAATAGGTAAACCAAGTCATGGGAACCCAAGTCTTAATTGTTGGTCTGGCATACAGATCAGTGGGAAGGAACTTGCCTGGCATATTTTACACCTGGGCAGCAATCTGAGCTCAGCACCACAGGAAATAAAATAAGTAGTCATTTTCTAACCATTGTGACTTCCCTCTTTTGCTGGATTGTAAGCTCTGAAATTAGACGACGTGTTTAAAGAGTAAAAGGCACTATAGAGAGATGGGAAGACTGTTCTAGGGGAACACTGGAGCTTAGGCATCGTTATCAGTTAGTTATTGAAAATACTTAATGGAAGGGGGAGTGGTAGCTTAAAAATACCATACTTGCCTAGCATGTTCAAGGGTCTGTGGTCTCCATTGGAGAGAGACAGGTGTGGGTGAGGGACAGTGACAACACATGGCACTGTTGGCTAGTAAGGAATATGAGGACTAGCCTGAAAGCTCTGTAGATATTTTGGTAGGTTGTGTGGATAATATGTATTAGTGATACACTTTGAGTTACCAATAATGTATGAACAGATTAAGGAAAGAATTAAAAGCACTTCCTTTTGGAGTCATTTAACCAAGAGTGAGTACAAATTTGAATTCTCTACTGCATACTCCCTGTGACTTCGTCCTCTGTCTGTTGTATGAGTCTGAATTTGTGCTTGTCTAAAGGCTGCTTGCGAATCTGTCCGAGTGTCTATATTATCTCTGTGTGATTGTCTGTATGTGTATACGTGAGTGTGTGTGTGTGTGTGTGTGTGTGTGTGTGTGTACTTGTGTTGTGTGCTTGTCTCTCTTTGTCTCTAACAAAGGACTTTGCTCTGTATTTCCTGAACAGCACAGACAGCATCGTGTGGTAGAAAGAATGAGATACTTTACGGAAATCTGTAAAAGATTTTACAAAGAATTAAGTCACTGGCTCTAAATGATCCTAACTGACGGACATAACAAACTACTGCCAACACCATTGCTTATCAACCAGTCCTCATAAGTGGATATTCATTTTAGAAGGTTGCTCCAATCTCTGTATTTGTTGCTTTCAGCAAAGGATATTTTAATTTCTATTTTAGGTCGTAATTTCTATATTTATTAAGTTCTTTATTAAGCAAAGGTTTTGTTATTTAAAACCTTTTAATTGTGGTTATTGGCTTTGCTTTAGTATTAATTGTAAAATAAGAAAACCAAGTATTTGGAGAGCCTATTCCTTTCATCATGACCGAATTCTCCTGGTATTTTGAGAGTGGTTTTGTTTGTCCTAGATGTGCCCATGATACATAATTATTTCTTTGCCTTTATTAAAAAACATTAATATTTCTAGATGTCATTGGTCAGAGTGAATCGCTTTGGTCCCCGGGGAGGTGGAAGAAAAACTCTGAAAGTAAAGAAGAAAGCTGTGGTGAGGCAGGAGTGGGATGTAAGTGTGGGGCCCACAGCAGCTGTTCTGGAGGGAGGATGGCCCTAGTGCTCCTGTCCAGTGAGGCTGGGATGCACTCAGGCTGGAGCAGGGTTGGGTTGGTTTCTGGGCGTGTTTTTTGTCTTGGGGGGAAGAGCAGGATATTTGCCCCATTCCCCTTTCAGAGTACAGTATCAAAGGCAATAACTTCGAATTCTTTCCAAGAGTTAGAGGCTTAGTGAAATTGAAACTATGTGCTCACAAAAGTTCCTCTGCAGCTTGCTGTAGTGATGGCAATTTCATTGTTAAAATGCTTTACGATTGCCTCATGGAATCCTAGTATCTGGAAACTAGCTTTAGTTAGGTTGACTCACAATATATACCCTGTTTTTATTCCTTGTTTTAAAGGAATAGAGCTTTATTTTCTGTATAGCACCTAAAAAATACCCTATTTTCTAGAAGACACTCAAAATAATCTGTTTTAACATTATATTGACAATATTGGTTCCTGGTGGGGAAAAGGACTTTTGGTCTTAGGATTTTGAATCAATTTTCAGTTACCGAACTGAGTAACTTAAAAATTTATAAGTAAACTTTAAAAAAGCTCACTCTGTTTTTCTTTTCAAAGAATACTGTGAATGATCTAACAGTTCACCGGGCAACTCCTGAGGATCTGGTAAGTTGAACACTGAAAGTTAAGTCCTGGATTCTGTATTTTATTTGGTATCTGGTTTTTGATCTTCAGAACAGAAACCATCATCACTCCTTAGAATTTTAGTTTCATTTAATCTTGTTTACATCTGTACAAAACCTAAAATAATATCTTAAGGAATGTTTGATTTTACTAAGGCTAATCAGCCACTGTTAGAATTTTACTCAGGAGTTTTGATCTATAGTCCTGTCACTCATCTAGAGTTAACCTCTAGTCTCTGTCTCCACATATCTTCAGCATTTTACCTTTGTTGTTGTCACTGCTGTTATTTTCACGACAGGCTGTGCTGGGTAACCCTGGCTAGCCTGTCTGTGGCAGAGACTAATCTTTCTGTGGACTTGCCTAGCTTTGATTTCCCTTACAGATGGACTACAGGATGTAGACTGTTACATGTAGTCTCTTTTTTCTAGCATATTTAATAGATTCATCCATGTTATACTATGTATCTCTGCTTCGTTCCTTACTATTGTGAAACAATAGTTCATTGAATGGTGATTCCAGATTTATCTGTTTGTACATCTGCTTTATTTCTGCTTCTTTTCTATTATGAAGTAATAGCATAGTGGACATTTATGTACAGGTCTCTGTGAATATATGCAGGCAGTTGTGTGTAGATCTGGAATAGGATGGCTAGGTCATGTATCTCCATATTGCCTTTTATGAATCACTGCCAACCTGCTCACCTGTCTTAAATTCCACCAGCACATGTGGAGCTTCCAGTTTACACGCGTCATTATTGTCCCCTTTTAAATTTTAATTCTCCTGTTGGGTATAAAGTACTGTCTCATTGAGATTCTAATATGCATGCTCACAATTTTTGCTTGCTAGTCTTTTTGGTAGTTTGCATGATTATAATTTCATTGGCTGACCCGAGTTTTGTTCATATTTACAGTTCTGAGCACTAGCGTATTTGTAAAGACAAATATCTACTCTTATTCCTCAGTCATCCCCGTGGAATCTTCCCTTCCCACTCTTTAGGGAGCTCTGGCTCCTGTCTCTTCTGTCTCAGGAACACTCCTTCCCTGGATATCTGCATCACATGAGACCTCAGTTCCACAGGAAGCCACTTCACAGCTAAACACACAGTGCACCATTGACTTAGAAGCAATGCAGTTATTGTGAAAGGGGTGTGCTTTGCCAAAGATGACTTAGGTGGATTTTGTACCCTTTACATCATGTTTGAAGTGTCAGTGTTGACCACTAATTGATATCTTAGCACTCATTGCATGAGTTTTAACCTGTGAATTGAAGAACACTAGGTGTTTTGGTAGTCTGTACAAATGAGGTAGAAGTTAATATCTTTAAGATAGACTTCCAAATTTTCGATATTTTCTTTTAGATCATTTTGAAAACTTAGAAGACTATGAAAGTTTTAGCTCTGAATGTACACGCATGCACACACTCATGCACACACTCATGCACATACATGCTGAACCAGAAAGAAAGAAGTGGTGAACTAGTGTAAGTGGTCTTACACAGGCGCAGGCAACGTCCTTGTTACTGAAAGCATTTCTTTACAGTTTTCCTTCTGTATAGGTGCGCCGTCATGAGATGCACAAGTCAAAGAATAGAGCATTGGTGCACTGGGAACTTCAAGAAAAAGCTTTGAAGAGAAAATGGAAGAAGCAGAAACCAGAAACTTCAAGTCTTGAAAAAAGAAAGTTATCTATTATGAAGGAGGTAGTGTGAAAATTCATTGTCTTTAGTGTTTTTTTTTTCTCTTGGGTTGGTTTCAATGGAGAGTCTCAAGTACTTATGCAACCTTGTACAGTGAGCTACTTGGGAGGCTCTTCAGAGAGCAGCAGGATGGTTGGAGCCTAGTGCAGAGAGCAGCAGGATGGGTGGAGCCTAGTGCAGAGAGCAGCAGGATGGGTGGAGCCTAGTGCAGAGAGCTGCAGGATAGGTGGAGCCTAGTGCAGAGAGCAGCAGGATGGGAGGGGTGGAGCCTAGTGCAGAGAGGAGCAGGATGGGAGGGGTGGAGCCTAGTGCAGAGGGTAGCAGGATGGGTGGAGCCTAGTGCAGAGAGCAGCAGGATAGGTGGAGCCTAGTGCAGAGAGCAGCAGGATGGGAGGGGTGGAGCCTAGTGCAGAGAGCAGCAGGATGGGTGGAGTCTACTTTGCTGCTTTAAATGTTCTTTGCATAACTCATTAGCTTCATAGTCTTAGATTATATAACTCCTTGGGTTGGAATTTTTTTCTCTTTTTGTCTTTCAACCTTTTAAAAAGTAGCATACAACATAGTAGCATGTTCCTTCTGCTACTGTCGTGATACTTCATTGTGGATGGTTGGTCTCCTCCCCTCCTCCCGCATCTCCTACCCCCACCCCTGTCCCACTGAATATCATGTGTATTCTTCCCACCCTTTCTCCAGTTTCATGGTCCCATAGAAACTGTTTTGACCTCCATACACACTTACTCCCACCTAAATACACATAATTAACAATTAGAAGCCAGGATTCACAGGAGCAAGCACTTTCAGTTCTCATCTGTCTGGGTTGCTTAACTTAATATAGTATTTTTCAGTTCTATCCATTTTTCTACAGATTTTGTAACATCATTTTTCTTACATTTGCTTGACCTTTTATTTTTAAAATGTGTTGTGCGATTTTAATGGCACAATACTTAAATTGTTTCCTAATTTCATATGTAGGATGTTTTGCCTTCATGTATGTCTGTGCACGATGTGCATGACTGGTATTTGCATATGTCAGAAGAAGGTCTCAGATCTCCTAGAAGTGGAGTGACAGACAATTGTGAACAGGCCATGTCGGTGCTGAAAATTGAACCTGGGTCCTCTGGACGAGCAGTTAGTACCCTTAGTCACTGACCCATCTCTCAGTCCTAGCATAATGCTTTTAAAGAGATTACTACAGTCTTTGGCAAAATAAATAGTGCTCTGTATCTGTAAACTTCTGTAATTATGTCTCAGTTCAACAGTATAATAGAATTACCCGGCAAAAATGAAATCAAATAATTTTGTGTGCCTGTTGATCTAGGTCTTAAGCCATTTATCTCTGGCTTAACCTTATGCCTGCCTGGGTGTTTGAAGAAGCAATCAGATACTTAGGGTGAACAGTGTGTCAAGCAAGCAGGAGCTATAGTAGAGCAACCTTTTTGATTTGAGCTGCAGTCATAGTAAAAGAGTGTGTTGTGCACGTGGCTCCTTACCCAGGGCAAGCTTGCAGTGCTTGCTGTCTGCATGACCCTTCATGGTGGCTTCAAGTCATAGGCTGCCTTTTGAGGAATTCCTTAGAGTTCTTAGGGAAATCTTACGCATCAAGAAAAGCTGTATCTCCCAAGTAAATGTTTGTAAGACTTGAGAAAGGAACAGCGGATTCAGAGAATATGATTTCTCATGTTACGGTCTTGGGCCAGTCATACACATGTGTTAGTTCGAATTGAAAAGCCTAAAACCACAGATCTGACCTGGAGAACCTCTTTGGGGGGTTGTCTTTCTCTAGTTTTAATTTTCTTTTCCTTTTTTTTTTTTTGGAAATTTAGTTTCTTTTTTTTTTGTATAAGGGTGTTTGCCTGCATGCATGTGTGTGTGTATGTGTGTCTGGTGCCATTGGAAGTCAGAAGAGGCTGTCTGATTCCTTGGAGCTAAGTCAGAGAATTGTGAGTCACTGAATGGGTGCTGGGACTCCCGCCTGTTTCCTTGGCAAGAGCCATGAGCATTCTTTTTTTTTTTTTTTAAGTATTTATTTATTTTATGCATATAAGTACACTGTAGCTGTCTTCAGACACACCAGAAGAGAGCATCAGATCCTGTCACAGATGGTTGTGAGCTACCATATGGATGCTGGGAATTGAACTCAGGACCTTTGGAAGAGCAGTCAGTGCTCTTAACTGCTGAGCCATCTCTCCAGCCCTATTATTATTATTATTATTATTATTATTGCCATAAGTATTTTTAACCTGTGATAACCACTGAGTCATCCCTGCGGCCCTCGTAGCTTTTCATACAAGTACTAAATGCGGGAGAAGTCGGGAGTTGGGGGTGAGGAGAAGCGTTATGAGGGAACAGGTGAAGGGTCTCATCTGTAGTGTGGTGGTTAACAGTGCTGACGGCACATGAGAATTCTTTTTTTTTTTTATAATTTATTTTTTCTCAAATCGTAATTCATTCACACAGGGGTTATAAACACAGGAAGGCAGGATGTGGGGAAGGGAATGACATTGGAGTGTGGGTGTTCAGGGGGAATACAGATATCTTTAGAACCTGGTATCGGCTGGGTGAAGGTTCAGGGGACAAGTCACTATGACTCTGCCTATGACTTGCTTGTCCTTATCTAAGTTGGTATTGTCTGCCAAGGCTACCTATTTACAAGGTCTATGACTACTCAGGCTTGTAAATTTCCACAAAAGCTGCCTGTTTACATTACCTTATAGCCATCTGTTTCAATGTTTTTCCACTGAGACCCAAGACTTGGTGTTAGTATACATGTATGACAGGCCTATTGCTGATTTTAGACCTATGGCTGATTTTAGGCCTTCAGTGGGTAAGCAGGGCTGCTCCTGACATCTCCTCCCTTCTCTAAGTATAGAAGGGTTGTGGCAATTCTAAACTTTCGAAGGCGAGGATAGAGGCCTGACCTCCAGTATTTGAAGGGGACCTTGTAATGGCTCCAGTCCCCTTGTCGTTGTCCAGTGAGGCATGAGGGCTATACCCATCCCGATGTCTTTTTCCTGGAGAGGGGATACTTTTGACATCAACCCCTATGTAGTCAGGCTTGTCCCTCAGGGAACCCAGATAGATATTATTATCTTTTATTTATATTCCCTTGCAGTGCTTAGCCTCGCAGCCTAAGCAAGAATTCAGATCGCCTGTTAGAGGGGGTTCTGGGTGGCCCCTCTCAGCTTGGTCTAGGGGCAGAAGTTCCCCCTTTTAGGTTGGGTGGAGATGGGTTTTGGAAACACCCTGTATAAAGTAACAACCTCATCTTGAGTCTCGTGGTCCTCCATAGCTAACTTATGATAATGTATCTGAGTAGGTTTTGCTACCAAATTATTTATCTGTTGTATCACAGAGTTAGTCCACCTATTTGAGGGCCAGGGACCAGCAGAAAAAAGCAAAAAGAACCCAAATAATGGTCCCAAGATGGGAGGAAATAGGGTTGACAATCTTGGAGAGGCTGAAAAACAATTCTTGTACCAGCATTCATCTGTCTCTTTTTCTCTCTGATTTTTCTTAGAGAAAAATCACTTCCTTCACTACCTGTTTCATGCTCTCTTTAACCCTCCTTGTCTTATCTATGTAAAGGCAGCCTTCTTCTTTAAGGGCTGTACACAGTCTAGAGTTGTACACAGCCTTTTCTATTGTAATAGAGTAAATCAAGTCCAATAAGGATCTTTGTGATTTTAGGAGGTCTCTTCAGACAGCGAAATGAGGGATTTCTTCAGATTAGTGATGTCATTCTCTAGCTGTTTGATGTTCTTGTCAGTGGCCCTTCAAAGGTCTGAGTAGTATAAGTTGGGAGGCCAGCATCTGGATTAGAACTTCTAACAGCAGATATCACGGGTGATTCATTTTTACCTGGAAAGGAAAAAGAAGGGAATTCTCAGGGAGATTTCTCTTCCCTGGATGTAAGTTGTTATTCATCGTATTTATGGTTGGGCCTGGCTTTGTGGGGGTATCTATTTTTTTCATTAATCTTTTTGGTAGCCAGTTAGCTGTGCCTTCTGTGGTATCAGACAGGCATATCAATCCTTGGCCCCATAAGGGAACTGGGTCTGGGCCATTCCCTTTAAGGGTAAGAGGGTCCTTCCCCATATCTGTGGCCGAGTTTTGTTGGTCTCGGTGGTGCCAGAGGCAGTCAGCGGCAGATTTGCCATGCACATGAGAACTCATCATGGTTGAGATGCTAGGGAGGGTGGGGCGCCACAGTACTCGAACTCTGAGATTCAGACTTAGTGAAGCTAGGTGTGGGAGGCTTCCTCAGTTTCCTCAGTGTTTTTATGTTCTGCCGGGTGTTAGAGATAGCTTTTGATGAGATTTAGATGTTTCCTTTTAACAACGTATCTTAGTAAGGCTAGTACAGTGATCTTTGGCCACATAAACAATCTGCTCTGAGAAATGTGACAGGGATTCAGTAACAGAAGGCAAAGTGGTGGCTTTACTTGAGATCCGATTGTAATTAATACCCAGTGGCAACAGATTAGTAAGATTATCCCTCTACTTTCTGCCTTTGTCAGTTTCTACTGTAGCCATGGCATGTTGATTTGGTATATATTATATCCATTATAAGTTATATTTCCTAAGCTCTTAATTGTATTGACTTGGAAGATATTTCACCAAAGATAGAAATTTGATTCATAAGACAGTGTAATTTGTGTTTTAATAGCACTGGAAGCATCACTAGCTTCTACAGGTTTCAGTGCATTCACACCCTTATGACATCCCTATAGGGTGGAGGAGGTGCTTAGATTCTATTGATATGCCAGTGTATCTTGAAAGTCAATAGTTAGAAGTTAATTTACCTTTTTAATGTCTAGGTTGTTTATAGATTTGCCATAATTTATTATTAATTGTTTTATTTGTGGATACTTATGTTGTATATTAGAATCCAGCTTAAGCTTCTGAGAATAAAATAACTCAATATAGTAATTTAAATGCAACACAGATTTACTTCTCTCATGGAAGTGCTCAGAGGTATCTGGTAGAGGACCCTGCAGTTTTTCAGCATGTGACTTGAGCATCCTGAACACAGGATGGTTGTTACAGTGTCCTTCATTTGTATGCAGGGCAACAGCAAGTGGAGGTAGACAGTGTCTGCTACTCCTCTTATGCCAGCCATTTGGCACTACGTGTTGATCTCCAGGACATTATTGCTTGGCTGTTCCCATATTCAAAAAGGGGCAGGAAATTGAGCTGCATTCTTGATTGAAATGGGAAGTTGGGCCAGGCCTTTAATCCCAGCGTTCATCACTAGGAGGCAGAGGCAGGTGAATCTTTGTAAGTTTGAGGCCAGCATGGTCTACAAAACAAGTTCCAGGACAGCCATGGCTGATACCCAGAAAAACCCTGTGTCAAAAAGCCACCACAACCACCACCACCAACAGGAACTTAGGAGGTGAGCTATTAAAGGGCAGTACTAGGGATAAGTAGTAGTGTGTGCCACTCAGAGATTGCGTCTTACCTCGGCATGATAAACACTCCAGCAAATAGTCTTGACTGTGGTTTGGGGTACAGGCTTGTTTGTTGGATTAATTATTAAAAGCAGCACTAAGTCAAGGGCTGGGGCTTTAGCTCAGTGTTAGAGCACTTACCTAGGATGCTTCAGGGTTTGTTTTCAAGTACTCACAGGAAAGAAAAGAAACCTAAGGGTCAAAGAGTATGAACATATTTTGCTTCAGTTATTAAGTTTTTCTGTGTTTATGGTGTCTGCATTCAGTGGATGTGATAGGACCATAGGCATATCCCTGATACAGAGGAATGGTTGTTACCAAGCTAGAAAAATCACACAGCTTATGTCCTATTGGTAATTTGGAGAGTTTATTACTTTTTGTTTTTAAGGCATTACCCTGTCTTAGGGTTTCATTGCTGTGAAGAGACACCATGACCAAGGCAACTCTTATAAGGGACAACATTTATTTGGGTTTGACTTGCAGGTTTGGTTCAGAGATTTAGTCCACTATCATCAAGGTGGGGTATGGCAGCATCTAGGTAGTCATAGAGGAGCTGAGAATTCTATATCCTTATCTGAAGGCCACTAGAAGACTGTCTCCCACATGGTTAGGAGGAGGATCTCATTGCCCACCTCCCCACCCCCCAGAGTGACACACTTCCTCCAGCAAGGCCACACCTGTTCCAACAAGAGTATACCTCCTACTAATGCCACTCCCTGGGCAAAGCATAGTCAAATCACCACACCCTCTGTCAAAATAAAGTCATGGCGCTGACAGAAGCAGAAAGTGGAAAAACGATCTCATTAATAACTACATTGATGCCTGGTGTCAGTTATAATCAGATCTCAAGTAAAAACCATGCTGTGCGCCATTGACACAGCAGGAAACTGCGTAACGTGGTTAGAGTCTATTTACTATCTCTAGTGTGGCCCTAAGCCCAGCATTCTCTGTGTGCTCTTGGCCTTCTGCACTTCTAAAATGCACTTCCACTCTGTGGAAGGAGCAAATGCAGGACTTACTCTCATTAGCTGACCGAGCTAGCTGACCCACTTGGCCATAGCAGGAAGGGTAACATAAGAACGCTACTCACTTTTCTCTCTGTATCGTAAAATAGTAATTGTCATGTGATGTGATTTTTTTTTTTTTTTGTATTACAGAGAAATTCCAGTCGTAGTGTTTGTTTTTAGATGCTTTATCAGCATCAGTCAGGGTTAGAAAAGGCACTGTCTTGATTTTAAGATTGCTTTCAGCTTAAGAATGCCATCTGGTGGTGGTAGATAGCATTGACTCATCTGTAGCGTATGGCTTTGTCTTTTGTACAATAAAGTCCTTCAATAGGAAGTGCATAATCAGAGGCACGACTGTAATGGTGTTTTGTGTAACAATATCTCCATAATAAAAAACCAACATATTTATAAATACCTAAGCAGATCATTGCTTAATCCTAAAAGCTATACCTTGATTTTCTAAGTCATAGGCCTGTTAGTGGATTATCAGAATACTTCTTCGGTGGTGGAAACACCTTGAGTTTATGGCTCAAAGATTCTTACTTTTAGTATGTGTTTTTCAACTGTATACTATTATTTATTAATGGGTTATGAAATCAAGTTAGTGGGCTACAACCATCACTTAAAACTAGAATGGAATAAAACTTAAATATAGTTATTTTCATGTGGCAAGACTATATAAATTACAGTCTTATTTTAAAAAGTGTGTATTTGTATGTGTCTATATACCTGATCATGTATGTGTGTATTTGTGTGTGTGTGTGTCCGCACACCAGAGCACAATGTAATATGTATTTCTTTCAAGCTACTAATTACTATAATAGTCTTGCCTACTGTTATCTAAGAATATTGCCATGGGAGGGTTTTAGGATGGTCACAGCCCATGGTTAAGAGCAAATTCAGCAACCACACCAATAGAAATTGAAAATTAAACTTTTAAAATGTCACGTTTGGTGCCTTCCCCTAGTCTTTTTCCTTAATAATTCGACAAGTAAGCCTAGTTTTCTCTGAACAGTATTTTTCTTAACTCTTGTGTAGATTCTTTCTGATCAGTACCAGACACAGGATGTGCTAGAAAAGTCCGATCATCTGCTGGCTGTAGCCAAGGGTCTGTTTGTTGATGTTCCTCGGAAGCGCACAGGTAAGCACTCAGTCCACACAGAACTTGTGTTTCTCTCTGAAACATAGCTCATTAGGGATTAGAAGCATTCACTCTGTTATCAGAAGTTATGTTCCTGCTGCATCTTTTTTTTTTTTTTTGGTTTTTGAGACAGGGTTTCTCTGTGTAGTCCTGGCTGTTCTGGAGCTCACTCTGTAGACCAGGCTGGCCTCGAACTCAGAAATCCTCCTGCCTCTGCCTCCCAAGTGCTGGGATTAAAGGCATGCCCCACCACTGCCCAGCCCTGCTTCATCTTCTAGCTGGCTCGTATATGAAGAGCCAAGAATCAGGATTCACTTGCTGTTTACTAGGAGTATTACAAGTTACTCAGTTAAGGGAACTATCTACTAAAATACAGTGTAAAGTACAACATTTTGTAACTGCAAAACATGGCTCAAGTTTTTAGCTTTATTAAGTTGCCACATAATTAAAATATGTACATTTAGTTTTGTTTGAGTAAGCGTTGTTGAAAATCTAAAGCAATTTCAGTTTCTTGTGAAAAGAAACTTTCCTTTTCTTTAGTTACATAGGATTATCCCTGCCCTCCACCCTCACGGTCCATGTAGCGAAGGCCAGCCTTGGTCTTCCTTCCTCTTAACTCCTGAGTGCTGTCACTAAAGGCATGTATCACCATTCTCGGCTTCAGCATTATTAATCATAATAGCATATAACTTGTTTAATCTTTTAGAAACGTGTTTATTTTTAGAGGGAAGTTTGAATCCTGAGTCAGCCGTTTATTAGCGTAACTCTGGGCTAGTCACTTAATTTTTCCAAGTTTCAGTTTACTGACCTGTGAAATAATAAAACCTATCTCATGGAGTTTTGTGAAGGTAAAAATGTGTTTAGATATGGCTGATACATATCCATATATGTACCATGTTAAACAAGTGGAACTGCTGTTTAAAATTTCCCTGAGGTGAAAGGAGCCTGTGGCAGTATGGAACTTGTGAAGCCTCTTTAAGCAGATGAAATAAAATCGGGATGACTTGTGTTTGTTCCTTCTTCAGGGTTTCCAAATGTAACAATGGCTCCAGATTCCTCACAACGTCCTATTGGAATAAATCAAGACCCTGTCACCCCGTCTATCCTTAATGAATCAATCATAGAGCCTCAGGTAATCCATTGCACTCACAACCAAGTGCCCATGCTGAAATGAAGTTCTTCTTTTTTTGTTCCTTGTTTGTTTGTTTGTTTTGGTTTTTCCAGACAGGGTTTCTCTGTGTAGCCCTGGCTGTCCTGGAACTCACTCTGTAGACCAGGCTAGCCTTGAACTCTCAAACTCAGAAATCCACCTGCCTCTGCCTCCCAAGTGTTGGGATTAAAGGCATGTGCCACCACCGCCCGGCTGAAATGAAGTTCTTGATACAGGCATCATGAAAAACATTTTAAAAGCTTAAATGTCAATCATTGTCCTGTCAACTATAAAGAGACAGTAGAAAAAGAAAACTAACAAAGAAGATTGGATAAGATGAGCTAGAGAAAGAATAGAACATTCAAAAAGATAAGATATGAAGTCGAAGGTTGAGTATATACTTCAGTATATGGTGTGTGTGTGTGTGTGTGTGTGTGTGTGTGTGTGTGAAAGGACAACCTCAGGAATCCTGTCTGCCTCCTTTGAGATGAAGTGTCTCGTTTGTCTGGAGTTCACCAACTAAGCCTAGATTGACTGGCAAGGATCCCCAGGGATCAAGTGCCCTGTTTCTGCCTCTACAGTGCTGGGGTGAAAAGCATGCGCCGCCATGCCTGGCACTATTGCGTCTGTGTTTTGGGTATTGTACTGAACTCCTCATGCATATGCCATCCGTATCTAAGCTGTAAAGGAAGGCAACAAAATGACCAACTTGTCTGTGGAGGAGGAAACATGCTGACCTTGACCTTGTAGAAAGTATTTTGAGTGGAGTGGCAGAACACAAGCAAAGTTACAGATGCAGAATTGGAGATGATTCTTTAAAGTGATTGGTGGAGCCAGTGGCGATGACACAAGCATAAAGTACTAGCATTAGAAAGGCTGAGGCAGAAGCAGTTGGGAATTTGGGGCCACCCTTAGTTCCATAATACATTCGTTAGCCTGGACTAAACAAAACCCAAAAGATAAACAGTATGTCAGGGTGGACACATGGTAGGGTAAGAAGAAACAGACTTTCTTACATTTAAATACTGATAGCTGAAGGGGGCAAGCAGCTGAGTATAATTAGGACAGTTAGAGGAAGACCGAGAGGGTTTGGTGGTCAGCCTTAGGAGGAAAAATGTCTGTTATGGCTAATGTCCTATCATGAATGAGCATATCATCACTTATGCTGCTGTTTTTTTTGTTGAGGTAGGCTCTTAATGAAGTCGATGATGGAGGGGAGGAAAGCACTGCTCACAGCCAGTCAGAAGACAGCGAGAGTGAACTGCCTAACTCACTCAGCTCGCACTCCAACAGGAATACAGAGAGGTACGTGTGTGTGGCATGAATACACAGGCTCATCTGGGGTTCCCAGAGTATTCAAAGTGCGTGCTTATTGCATTATTCCTTAAAAACACTAGCAAAGAAAAAAAAAAACCAGTTGAGTGTATAGTTTTATCTAAATATTTAAAATTGTTCAATAATGTTGTAAAAGTTGTAGTAGGAATGTAAAAAGGTTTTTATTTCTCCTGTACTTCTTTTTATACATAAAGCAGTTATATAAATGTATATCTCATTTCCTCGTTTCATACATTAAAAATGGCAATGCTGTATTTGAATTCATCACTTGATACGACCTAAAATCAGCCCCCAGCCTTATGTAAAGTTTGTTTTTACAGCACAGCGAAGTAGCTGGGCTGGAAAGTGAGTGAATGTCAGAGCTGACTGGACACTCTCCTGGATACATGGCAGCTTACATTATTTCTGGTTCTCCGTAGTAACAAAGACACTATAATAAATATCTTACATACTGTTATATTACTTGAAGTCCATATTTAGGAAAAATTGGAAGTAGAACTTGAAGTTTAAAGTGTAAACGCTGTACAATTTTGCTTTAAAATTGTTGAATTCTACTTTATGAAGAACTGTACTTTGAAATTCATGCCCAAGCCCAGGGTACAGAACACTTGTCGTACTTTTTTCTAGGAGGTGTGTCGTTGTGTTTGGGATTTAGTCTCCACCAGTTAGTTTTTTCTTGGTACACAGGAGGAGATACACACCTATGTTATTTTTAATGGCTTCCTGGTTAATAGTCCTTAAAGTGTTAGTAAAGACCTCCCTTTTGTGCCATTGTCACAGTCTCTGTCGGAGTGTGGGCAAATTTCTGGACTTGCTCTTCTAGTGGTGCTGGCCTCTTCTCCAGTCATTCTTGTGCCTTAGGGTTTTGTTTAGAGAGGACTTGTAGGATTTATAGATACCTATAGCTTTTCTTTCTTTTTTCTTTTTGTTTGTTTGTTTCTTTTGAGACAAGGTCTCTCTATGTAGCCCTGGCTGTTCTGGAACTTGCTATGTTACAAGGTTGGCCTTGAACTCACAGAGATTCCCCTGCCTCTGCCTCTCAAGTACTTCGATTAAAGGTGTGTGCCACCATACCCAACTTCCTTTCAGCTTTTCTTAGAATTTTAGGGTTTTCCTAATAATTTTAATCTGTTTTTATATGAAAATCAGTATCAACTTCTTTAACTTCATAAATCAAAGCTTACTGATATTTTCTGTTAGGACATAATGTTTCCCCTTTGTTAAAAAGTGTGCTTTCTGTTTCTGAGGAATGCTTTGACGTTGTTCTTACATAGTGTATACTTGCTTCTTGCTCAGCTTATCCTTAAATAGTAGTTGTTTCTCCTTTGAATGGGATTTTCTATTCATCCACTACATCTTTTATATCCCTGTGTGGCTGGGGATTTGGGGGTCCTGTGGGAGGGGGTAAGCAGTCTTCCCTGAGCTCCATCCTAGATACTTTTCCCCTGTGCCTTCCAGCTTATCATCATACATGTTTCTGTCTTATCTCAGTGGTCAGCTGCATCACTGCATCCTATGTAAGTTAGTTCTGACAGCAATTCTCCAGGGTTTAGCATCATGTCACCTACAAAGAACATTTTTGGTTCCTGTATTTTACCCTCCTCAAATTTCTTTTCTTTTGTATATTAATTATAGGGCTGTATAAAATAATAGTGAAGTAACAGGCATCTCTGTTGTGTTATTTTGTAGACATATGCTTGTTTTGGTGTTGGTGTTGGTGTTGGGTGAAGGGTCTTGTGTGCCAGACCCTTCCCATCATTTCTTTTGGTCATCCTCTTTTAGGATTGCATTGCTTGTAGTCTAGTTTCTTTTCTTTTTTTTTTAAAAGGATTTATTTATGTATGTATATGAGTGCACTGTCACTGTCTTCAGACACAGCAGATCCCATTACAGATGGTTGTGAACTATCATGTGGTTGCTGGGAATGGATCTCAGGACCTCTGGAAGAACAGCCAGTGCTCTTAATCACTGAGCCATCTCTCCAGCCCCTATAATCTAGTTTCTTAACTTTTCAAAGAATTGGACTTCTGGCTTATTAAGTTGAGCGTATAGTTTGATTTCTCCCTCCTCAATTTTCCCTTTTCCCTTCCTTGTGCTTTCTTTTGTTTTTATAGCTTTTTGAGTTAGGACTGCAGTACTTTTTTTCCAGTTCATAAAAATAAGTGGATTATTTAAGAAATGAGGTCATTTCAGTTGATTTTCCCCCCTTTTTGCTGAGAAAGATAAAAACAAAGCAAAGCTCTGGAAGCCCTTGTCCTGTGTAGTTTAGCTACTCTAGGTTCAGGCTGTGCCCTGTCATCTTCCTGTTTGTGGAACTTGGTGACGCTTTCTTTGTGAGCTAGCCTGTGATCATGTCTGTAGTATTCCGTGTGTGCTCGAGCAGAGGCTATGGTTCTATTGAAGGTATAATGCTTTGTGTGCACAGCATAACACCTGCCTTGCTGACTATGTCTTATTTTTTCTGTCTTCCTAGTTAATTTTGCCATATTGTATACTGAGAGTGACGTATTAAAGACTTCTAGTTTTAGTGTGCTTTTGTTTTTCTTCATATTTATTGTTTTAATATACTTAATTGAAGTTTAATGTGTCCTTTCTTGTACGGTGACTGCTGTACTTATAGAAGGTTTATTTATAAATGCTATGTCTTTATTTTGATGAATGGCTTTTAGCACCATAATCTCTATTGTCATATTTAGTGGCTTTTGGTGCAGTCTGTTTTGCCTGAGATAGGGAATAAAACTTCTACTTATTGTTTCTGATTGTCTGCGTTATCTTTGCTTTTTTATATATAGTCTTCTTTATTTATTTAGGCTTTTGCAGTTGTTTTATATTATTTGTGTTCTTTGTATGCAGTGTAGTGGATATAGCCTCCCTAGTCAATTCTAATTGGTGAGGTAAGCTTTGTTCAGTTTCAGTGTTGTCTAGTCACTCACGGTTCTGTTCTTTGTACTGTTTTTCCTTTCTCTGGTTGATTTGATCTCTCTGTGAAACTGGCTAGCTACAGCTGTCAGCTCTGGCCTTAGCCTCGTGCGTGCTAGGCTTGTATACTGTCTCTTTTCTGTGTATTCATTGTTGTTTTTTTTAAAAGTCTTGGTATTTAGGAAGATGGTAGTTCTCTTGTGATGCTACCTAGTGTATGTCCCTTTTGTGAGTCGAGGAGGACTGTTGTTATTTAATCTTTGCTGACAGCTGTGTGTTGCACACTGACGGTTCAAGCTAATTGTTCGACATTTCTCCCCATTTTGTAGTTGCATCTTAGCTTTTAATTGACAGACATAAAGCATTTGCACACTGTGCTTCACTGTCTATCATGATTTTGTTTGTTTTTATCTTACAGGCAAGAAAAAATTATTAAATGCTCATCCAGTCCTTTCCTGTTTTCATGGTTGTCTTGTAGTTGAATCTTGGTTAGTTAGCTCATGCTGTTGGGCTAATGAATAGAATGTTCCTTGAGTTCTTTAGACATTCCTCTACCCTTTTATTGAAAATGGATATTTTTCTCATATAATGTATGCTGATTATGGATTCTCTTCCCTCTGCTCCTCCCAGTTCCTCTCTACCTCCCCTCCCAACTAGATCCACTCCCTTTCTGTCTCTCCTTAGAAAACAGGCTTCTAAGAGATAATAATACAGTTATTATAAATTATAATATAAACATGTTCTATATTATCTATAATTTAAAAGTAAAGTATTTTATTTTAAAAATAAAAGATTTTAAAGAAAAAACTGACATGTCAGAATTAGACAAAACAAACAGAAGGGAAGGAGCCCAAGAGAAGACACAAGAATTAGAAATCCACTCCTACCCACACTCAAAAACTCCCATAAAAACACTAACCTGGGAGCCATAGTACATACACAGAGGACCTGGTATAGAACCATGCAGGCCCGCCCATGCTCCCTAGTCTTGTGAGTTCATATATGTGTTGTTCACGTGGATCGAGGGGTCATGTTTTCTTGGTGTTCTCTGTCCCCTCTGGCTCTTACACTCTTTCTGTCTCCTCTTCTGCAGAGTTCCCTGAGGCCTGAGGAAGGGATTTATTGGAGACATCCTGTTTAGGTCTGAATGTTATCTGGTCTCTCATTCTCTGCATAATATTTAGACATTTTCTATACCTTTTGTATTTGAAGTACTGGCTGGCTTTTTTGGCAGTGCTCTTCACTCTTGGTTGGCCTTGTACATTGCTTTATGAAGTCTGCTGCTATAGTAATTTTCTTGCTTTTATAAGAAATTTGGTGTTTTTGTCTAACAACTTGATTTCCTTGAGCTTCAACATTTGTTTTTCTGCCTTTAGACTTACGGGGCCCGTAGTCTAGGGTCCAGGTCAGTTTCCCCTTATCCGACATAGTTGGCCCTTTAAGTTGTAGGATTGTCTCCCCTGTCCTCAGCTGTATTATCTGTTCAGTGAGGAGTTATAGACAGGAGGCTCACCCCATTTCCCAGCCACATTTGTTTTCCTAGCATTTGTTCTCTCCCAAATCTTACTGCCATTATTCTGTTGCTTTCTTGAAGTGCCTCAATGCACCTTATGAAATTTTTCATTATGAGAATTTAATTTTAGAGACACAGTTTTACTCTGTAGCCCACCTGGATCCCCAGTTTGTAATCCTTTTGTCTTGGTGTTCCAAGTGCTGGGGTTACCAGCATGCACTGCTCCCATGCCCTTTTTGTTTGTTTGTTTTTTAACTTCTACTGTGCAGTAGATTTGTGCTGCTCAATATGTACATACACGTGCACTATCTCCAGATCCTTGCGTATTCATATTTAATTTCATCTTACGTGTTATTGCAGCTTTATTCTGACTCCCTCCTTGGCAGCTCCTTATTGGGATGGGATCTTGATTAGCTGAACAATTTGAGTTTAAATTTTCTATTCATAATATTACTATTGTATGTATGGATTTTGTGGATGCAGGTGAGCACTTCTTGGTCTGAAAGCATGCCCTTCTGTCGGTTCTAGTGAAGAAGTCTCTAATCTCATCATTAAACAAGGTATGAGAAGGCTGAATATGATCTGTTCTACCACAGAATTGTTTTTTTCATATGTAGTTATATGAAATTAGAAAATATGCTATCTGCTTTCAGAGTACAGTGATGGAACATATCTTGGATAAGAGTTATAGACATTCTTGTTTTAAAAGGGGAAAAATTATCAAAAGAAGAAAGTAGTCAGCAGTTACAAGGGACTTTGAAATCCAGACAGACAAATTCCGTTAAGTTTCAAGGCCTGATTTCAATAATTATCTCCAGCCTGAGTCTTCAACCTCAGGGTCCATAGCTCTGCTGATTATTTCTGAGGCTTTCCCTTTGGCCCCTGTGCCTGTGGATTTAAATCTGTAAAAACATTTGTAGCTCATCTGTAGTTTAGGATAGACAGCTCATGTTTATAGTTGGGTAGCTTTATCAACCTACTCCTCTCTGTAGAATATGGGAGTGTGGCACCAATTCTTTACTCCATCCTCTCAGTCCAAGCCAGTGATATTTCTGCTGTTAAAGCACTCTCAAAAGCTTTTATGGATGTCTGTGTTTTATACGATAGACTAGAGGTCCTCATGAATCTTTCCTGGATAATCACGTTTTTCTCTCTGGCTTCTGAAATCACTGAGGAGTTCTAGGAATTATATCTTGCCCTTCAGAACTAGCAAACTCTTTGCAATCTCTTCAGCAAAACTTCTTGGTTCGTCACTTAGAAAGTTCTACTTTTGTATACAACAACACTAAGATTTCTAACACCCCAAGTATTGGCTGGCCTCCAGTCTAATACCATGTTCTTAATGTCCTGAATGCTCTGACTAGAAGCTCTGTTGATAGTCATATTTCTGTCAACTTTCTACTACAATATGGGAATTCCTTAAATCAGTTTGGGGTCTCTACAGTACACCTCACCTCTTCCGGTGTCTTCATCAGAGAAATTACTAACATCCATTTCTACCAGTAGTTCATATAAGACTATGTAGGCTGCTTCTGTCATTCATCTAAAAACCCTTCCAGGCTTACTCCCAAACCACTTACCTGTACACTACATCTACACTAGCATTCTACTCAAGTCATAGTCCGTATTAGTTTTTTGATGATGTTGTAACAAATTAACAAAGACTTGCCAGCTTAAGATGATACAAATTCATTGTGTCTATAGGTTTGAGATCTGGAATATGTTTCACTAGGCTGAAGTCAGGTGTGTCTAGAGCCATCCCACCCTCTGGGAGAGCCTCAGAAGAAAATCTGTCGCTTTCCCTTTCTCCTTTGGTGGCATTTGGTACGGACCATTGGCCTTCTGTAACTTGGGACACTCCCGTCTCTGTCTCTGTTTTTACCATGTAGATCAGCTCTCCCTCACTTTTTGTGGATGCACATATTTTGAAGTTAAGACACTTCTCAGTCGTTTGTGAACATGTCCCTATCTCATGGCCTGTAACTTGACCACATCTGCAAAATCCCCTTTTAGTGTGGGAAGATTGCATTCATAGACTCTAGGGGTTGGGTTATGGGTGTCTTTTGGCAGCTTTTAGCCTACTGCGATGGTGTTGCATTATATTTGTGGCTGCTATGTAGCCTGGCTCTTGGAAGCATTGGTGTTAGAGATGGTAGTGAAGTGTAAGAATGTGGTGTTTATTTTTCCAATTTGTAGAACATTCTTCTGATATTTTTCTTAAAGGTTGGACTTAAAGCTGCTGGTGTTGTTTTATGAAGGATCTTTTCTTGTCCTTTCCCTTCTGCAAGGCTCATATCATGGCCCTTTTGCTAGATACACTTTTTTAGCAAGTGGTGTTCTAATGTGCTGCTTATAGTTTGCTTGGAATTGAGGTCTATGGAGTGGCTTAATTAGAATATTTATTTCCTATTTAATTTCTAACAATTTGATTTATAGTTCATAGATACATAGCCTGTTTATTTATAATTCAGTATTTTCTCAATACATTCACATTTGGTCACCATTGCAATCAATTTTAGGATATTTTCATCGCCTCAGAAAGAAACACCATTTCCGTCCAACCCCTTCAGAACTGAATAAGCACTCGTATATTTTCTGCTCTATAGATTTGCCTATTTAGACATGTCATATAGAGATTATGCAGTATGCTGTCTCTTGTGTCTGGTGTCTTTCATGTTGCAATACACAGCAATGTTTCATTCCTTTCTATGACTGAATAGTATTTTGTTGAATAGCTATACCACATTTACATTTTCATTTATTAGACGCTAGACATTTGTTTCTATTTTCTGTGTTCTCACTTCTTAGGTCTCAATTTAAGTGAGAAATTAAATATCAGCATTGTCAGTGACAGTAACATCTGTAGATAAGGCTAAGCTCTGTCACAAGGGCTTCCAAGTACTAAGTCCCTAGGCTCCTCTTCTGACTCATGCCCCATTTCTGGTATAAAGCATTTTCTTTAATATGAGCAAACTGGCTCTCCTGAAGGGAAGAGAAACCACAAGGGCAGAGCCATACATAAATAATTACTTTAGAGAGAGGAAGAAGGGTGAGACACTATATGTGTGTGTGTGTGTGTGTGTGTGTGTGTGTACACACACACACACAAAGGCCAACACTACTGTGTAAGGGACCATGGGACATAGAAACTGGAAGGCAAATGGACTACTTTCTTCCCTAAGATGATGGGCCTTTTGTCTACTTACCTGTCTGTATTAGCATCATTCTGTTGCTATGATAAAATACTCCAACAAAGTAACCTAAGGAAGAATGAGTTTATTTTGGCTTAAAGTTGCAGAGGGGATACAGTCCGTTGTGGCAGGGAAGGCATGACACAGGCATGGCGCAGGAGCAGGGGCAGGAGGCCAGCCTGTCACATTGCATTGGCAGTCTAGAAACACAAAGGAGGAGGAGGAAGTGGAGCAGGGCTTACTCTCAAGGCTCACCCCTACTGACAGACTTACTCCTGCAGAGTCACCTTTCATAAAGGTTCCACAATCCTCCCCCAAACAGCCCCACTAGCCGGGGACCAAAATGTGAATGTATACACCTAGATGGAGGGCATTTCTCATTCAGTCACCACATTGTCTTGTCAGATAAAGTCAGTAACATTTTTTTTTAATTGTGAATTGCTGAAAACTTGTAAATCAAATACATGAGCAGTTGGACAGTTTAAATAATAACACCTATTAATTATAATTGTCTCATAATTTATAGGTTTCTTCACCAGCTAAAGGAAGAGAATTCTGAGTTAATCAATCAACTGTGGACTGATATTCAGCAGAAAATCGCTACCCAGTCACAAAGGACTCCTCCAGGATCTCCGTCCTCAGAGCTTTCAACAGAGGATCAGAAAGGCTAGTTGATCCTAGGCAGTATTTCTAGTAGCATACTTTCTTCTTTCTTTCTTTCTTTTTTCTTTTCTTTTCTTTTTTTTTTTTTTTTTTTGATTTTTCGAGACAGGGTTTCTCTGTGTAGCTCTGGCTGTCCTGGAACTCACTCTGTAGACCAGGCTGGCCTCGAACTCCGCCTGCCTCTGCCTTCCAAGTGCTGGGATTAAAGGCATGTGCCATCACTGCCTGGCAATAGCATACTTTCTTAAGTTGGCTTGTTTGTCTGTTTGTTTTGAACACAGTAGTTTTCAAATGCTACTTAACTTTTGGAGTCTTTATACATGGACTAAAATCATGATGACTCTTATTAGTGGAACTGTTTTTAGAGAAAGCTTTTTTCTCTTAAAATGCTTTCTGCTGTGTTCTTCATTTTCAGCTGCTCTGAATGCAACGGATGCTGTCAAGAGAATCCAGGCTGGGCTTCAACCTGAGGAGTCTGCTGAGCCTGTAGACTCCAGCTACGTGGGACAGGTGCTTAACACAAGGAAACAAAGGCAGCCGCTAAGTAAAGGTGCGCGCTTTCCCACTTACACAGAGGAGTTGTTACACATGTCTTCTCAGAGCTTGTCCAACTGTATGTATTTAAGTATGAGTTTGTTGAGGGGAAGCTAAGAAACCCTCTCTGTCCCACACTGTGTGTCACAGAGTGTTATCATATGTTAGCTATAGATAATGCTAACTTTGTGTCAAATTTGTAGGTTTGTATTATAAAGACTGTGGTAACTTCTTTTTTAAAAATAGTGAACAATCAGCCAGGCAGTGGTGGCACACGCCTTTAATCCCAGCACTTGGGAGGCAGAGGCAGGTGGATTTCTGAGTTCGAGGCCAGCCTGGTGTACAGAGTGAGTTCCAGGATAGCCAGGGCTATATAGAGAAACCCTTCTCGAAAAACCAAAAAAAAAAAAAAAAAAATGGTGAACAATCAAAACTTTTTCTGGTAAATTTGTGATTTCCCTGGTTTTGAACTAGAATGACTTTTGTCATTCTCAGTGAAAAGAAAACAAGATATTCGTGCTCCCTCCAAGCAGAAGAAAAACTTATCCTCCAGCACAACCTCTGCAGACTTACCAAGTAACAATAATTCCAGCCTGGATGTCCTCAAACACATGATCCATGAAGTGGAACATGAAATGGAAGAGTACGAGCGGTGGACAGGGCGTGAGGTCAAGGGGCTGCAGGGTGGTCAGGGGCTCACAGGCTTTACTCTGTCCCTGGTGAGCTCCCTCTGCCGTCTGGTTCGGTACCTTAAAGAGGTAAGGGGACAGGTTATGGAATCTTCTCTTCAGCCATAAATAGATGTGATTGTTTTCTCCTTGCTTAACTTATTGCAGCCTCTAAGTAAGAACAGTTAAATTTGAGTAGTTGTATTTTACTCAGTTTTAATATATCTAGTAAAGTTTATGCTTGTAGTCCCCCTTTGTCATTAGATACATGCCTAGGTAAATATTTCTGATGTTACTTTGAATTTTAGAAAAATGTAATTAGTAAGATAAATCTGCGGTGAATAAAGTAATATCGTATGCCAGCTGCATGTATTACTGACTGGGTATCTTGGTTTAAATAGCACTGTTAACTGTAGCTTTGTTATGTTGCTTTCCTCTGCTGGCTGATGCTCTATCAGCTCTGCTGGGAGAGCTGGTTTGCCTGTAATCTGTAAATTTCATAGGCAGGAAAACTGTGGTCTCTGTAGAATGGGAGTTGTCTTATTATTGTGAAAATAATTTATAGAATAAAGAATTGTTTGCTTATAAATAATAATTGGTCCTTAGGTGGGATAGAATTAATTTTCTATAAAGTCTACTTAAGGATCTGGGGAGATAGCTCAGTTGCCAAAGTGTTTGCTTTGAACACATGTGTACTTGAGTTTAATCCCCAAATTAAACATTCTGGGAAAGTGAAGATCATGGTATCCTTGGGGCTCATGAGCCAGCCAGTCTAGCCTGATTGATAAGCTCCACTCCAGGTCAGTGAGAGACCTTGCCTTTATTTCTGAGAATAGCACTTGAGGTTTACATGCATGCATATCCTCACACACATGTACATGCACAGAATAAAAATCTACATACGGTTTACTTATTATGTACTTAGATCTATTGAATAAATATGACAAAAATGTTAAGAAACTTTTACTGTAAGTAGTATCTCTATCACTGTGATTGACGTATCATCTGGAGGTGTTTTTGTCAAACTGCTTGATAATGAAAGGTTTGTGTAGTGTCAGACATGTGAAAGTCTTTTCAGTAGACCCCTATTCTGTGATTATTTCAATTTTCCCTTCACAGTACTGTTTATGTGCCTTGTATGCTATGAGCAGTATCATAGCTAGTAGGTTTCTTCTCCCTTTTTATCTTATATTCAACATGTTCTTTGACAATTTTACACACACACACATACACACACACACACACAGAGGGTATATTCTGATTACTGTCACCCTATTCGCTCCTGTCTCCCTCCCACTCCTGTTATCTTCCCACCTCACAGGATTCTTTCTCATTAGTCTGTAGTCCTTGTGTGTGCTAGTGCTTAGAAAGTGTAGCAGGACATTGTCCTCTGAAGCTTGGCAACTGCAAGATCCTGCTTAGCAACTGCAGATAGACTCAAAGCAATGTACCATATCATCTGAAGAATAGCAGGGAGACCATAACTCAAGCAGTGTACCATATCTTCTGAAGAACAGCAGGTAGATCATAATTCAAGGCAGTGTACCGTATAGACCATGACATGTTTCAAGGCACAGGCCAAGAAGATTTTGTACTTTTCCACCACCTGGCCCCTCTTACCCCCTCCCCTTGTAAAACATGCTATAAAAAAGCATTTCATGTTCAAAAATAAATAAATAAATAAATAAATAAATAAATAAATAAATAATTTTAAAAAAATTAAAAAGAAAAAAAAAGAAAGTGTAGCAGGCCTGGTAACATGCGCTTTGTAACTGTTCACTTACTTTCAATGTTATGATATTTCATAGAAATAGTCAATATAGTACTTGTTTTAAATTATATTTTAACAATCAGTTTGTGATTGGCAGTGTATCACACAGCATGAAATGGAGGCATACAGAAGAGTGTAGAGTGAAAAAACCTAATTCTCATTCCTAACTTGTAGCTAACCTGTTCATTTCCATGTAGCTTACTGTCATGGTCAGGTATCAATGTGTCTTTCTAGACATGAGCTTTGTATCCAAACTCTATTTGTGCATAGCCCTTAACTTTTTAAATGAAAACAGAAGTAGTTCTTTAAGATGAGACTAGAACAAAAAAATGTGTTTTTTTATGAATTAAATGTAGCCTGCTAATGAAAGTTTTAAGTCTCATCATTATCGTGGTTCTTGCTTCTAAGTATCTTTGCTATCTTGTCTTTGTAGAAGTGTAGTTGTCAGTGTGTGACCCTACTGGTTAGAGTTTACTTTTCTTGTCTTTTGCAGAGTGAAATCCAGCTTCGGAAGGAAGTAGAGACAAGGCAGCAGCTGGAACAGATGTTAGGTGATCACCGAGAGCTCATTGATGCCCTGACAGCTGAAATTCTTCTCCTCAGAGAAGAACATAGTACCATGCAGGTATTCACATGCTCTCCCAAAGGCTCCGTGTTTGATAGTGAGTATGTCTGCATGCATGCAAGGTTCTCCTGGAGCTGCAGATGACTTAGCTGCCCCGATGTGACTACCTGTCATGCTCAGCAGCAGCAGTGGGTGGTAATGACCAGTTGTTATGCCAGAGTTCTAGTGTCAAAACTTAAGCTGCATACAGTACTTAGGATACATTTGCTGTTTCTAAGAAACATGCTGTGGAGTGGGGATAACAGGATCTTCATTTCAGTAGCCACTAATCCTGTGCTCATTTACAGAGTGTGAACTGTTCTGGAAACAGTTGTCATTTTAGAAGAAAGGACAGTAGAGCCTTTGAACTCTTCTACAGTGATATTAGATGCTATTTGTGGTTGTTTTCAGTGACTATAAAAAGGCATATAATTTTTCTAGAACACTAACTGCTTGCGTGCTTCTTTAAGTATTCTCTTTGTATGCATTATGTGACTATATGTATTTACGTATGTGTACAAGTCTGTGGAGGACAGAGGTTGATGTCGGTATCAGCCTCAGTCACTCTTCATCTTATTTTTTGAGGTAGGGCTCCTTCGTGAATGTGGAGCTCACCAGTTTGACTAGACTCTGGCCATTGAGCTCCAAGGATCTACCTGTCTCTGTGCCCCCGCACTTGCGTTATAAACATGTGCTGCTGTACCTGGCATTTTACATTGGAGCTGGGGATTTGAACTCAGGTCCTTATGTTTGGTGGCAAGCACTTTACTGACTGAGCAGTCTTCCTCTGCGTACTTTTGATGTTTTGATTGTTATATCATTGAGTTTACCCACTTATGTTAGACATACGTCAGTCCTCATCACTGAAAACATGATGAGTCCTCATCATGCTTGAGAACATAGACTGTCTTATTCACCATTTTGTTGGTGTGAGTACTTGCAGACTGCTACAAGAGCAGGAGGTATAATGGCTTCAGAGTCCTGTAGGATGCCAGGTGGAGGAAGGGAAGTAGAGAGAACAGTCAGAGGTAAGATCAGATAAGGCCCTCACATAGGGCTCTTTGCATGCTAAGTTTAAAGAATTAGGCAAATGAAATGGAGAACCCCTGAAGAGAAGAGGCATGGTATGACTGAAGTCTTAGGAGAGTCATCTAAGCATGCACTGTGCTCTGCTGTGTTATTACCACCCGAAGACTAATACTTCACTGCACTGTGCTGCGTGGACTGTAGCAGAGAGGGCTGCCTTTGTTGGGTCACTTAGTGTCCCCTGACTCTGGTACTAACCACTTAGGAGCTGTTTGAACAATACTATACTTAATTAGTACTTATAAATATTTCATATATATGTAGAAATAAAGAGACATACATTTATTTTGTTCTTAAATTACTACAACTATTTATGAGTGAGCTATGTGTACTTTTCTGATTCTGTGTAACTATCGTAAACTTAGAGCTCGTTATATTGGGTGTTATTGTCTTTATTCCTTACTCCACAGTGTCTTTCTACCCAAAACATATTTCTAAACATAGCTGCTTCCAGAAAGCCAGCCATAAGAAGATTTGATGATTTTTTGGTTGTCTTTCTTGCTACTGTTTGAGACTGGGTCTCATTATGTAGCTCAATATGGCCTTGGCTTTGTGATCCTCCTGTCTCAACTTCTTGCGTGCTAGAGTTGCAGGCATGTGCTACCATGCTTGCCTAAGAAGAGTTGATACTACCAAAAAGAATATAATGAAATCTCATTTTCAAAGAGAACTGCCTCCAGTTAATAGTTGACTAATGCTGCATAGAAGGTATCTTTACTGGCTTCTCTTGAGAACTGAAGCTGTTCTCTGGTGGCCTGTGAAATCACTCTGTTGTCTCAGACTACAGTTTGAGGATAGAACTAGGTCAGGTACCAGGGGATTGCATCTAGGCGTCGTGAGATTGATTCAGATGGAGCATAGCGGTGTGGTCTAGAGCAGAAGTGGGGCATGGGTGAAGACTCAGCAAATTCAGAGTGTGTTTTAAAGGTCAACTAAACCCACTGGAAATAGGGGGAAGAAAAGAATGTGAGAAGGAAAATCCAAAGGTAACTGTGTAGTTTGGGATTTGGGTTTAAAAGATGAAGCTGCCGTGTATGTTGTAGAAGGAGATAAGAGGAACTTGGCTTTATATATTGAGTTTGAAAAGTCTATTTGAGTCCGAGATGGGGAAACTTAAAAGACCACTGAATATATGAGTGAAATTGGGGAGAAGTTGTTTCATATGCTCTATTCTTTGATACTACACTATCGGTACTACACCTACTTTTATTAGTTGTCTGCATTTATCAGCACTTATGATGTGTCATAGCTGTCTCAACTGGTTTCTCTGGTGTTTGTTATAAGGTCTTGGCAGATCATACAGCTCCTCTTTCTTCCCTCTTCCCTTCCATCATCTATGCCTGTAAGAACCATATGCCAATATTTATGAAAGGCCCGCATTTTGTGGTTGTAGTCAGACTTGTTAATTTTACATTACCTGTTTACATCTACAATATGGAAAAGATAAAGAAAAGAACCAATCCATCTGAACTTCTAAACAATGAAGTTGACCTTTAATGTAAGAATAGAATTCCAAACATGTTCAGGTATATGACAGATAATACATCTAATCAGTTGATGTGATGTTTTATTTCTTTTAAATTAGAAATTATATAACAGTAGGTATATACACATACATAGACAAATCTGAGTATACATTAAATACAGTTACCTTTCATAGAAAGCTTTACTTGGACTACATATAGAATGCTGTGCTTTTCTTTTGCTCTTAACATTGTTGCAAGTACATAATATGTTTTCATGACAGTTTATCCATTTCAGTGCCCATGACTGCTTCATTGAGTTCCCCACCTAGTGTATCACTCTCTTATTGTAGCTAGTCATAGAGATAATCTATATGAAAAGATTTTGCAAATTAAAAGCTCTATCAAAAGACTTAATTTTGATAGTGGAGTACTTAGTAATAGTAATTAGTTACTTAATCATTTCATCATCATGATTCCTTTAGAGCATTTATAATTATGAACAACATTGGTTTAGGGTAGGTATTTAAAATGATAACACACACACACACACACTCTCACATCTCTGTATGGCTTACTCTTTATATAATGTCTGATGTCTGTTATGCCAGTGATGTGTGATTTTCTTTAGGCGAGACTTCAGCAGTACATGGTCACTACAGATGAACAGCTTATATCGCTCACACATGCCATTAAGAATTGTCCTGTGATAAATAACTCCAGACAAGAAAGTCAAGCATCAGAAAGGGCAACTGTGGGTAGAAGACTTGTGGATAATGTAGGTAGGTGGAGTCTTATTATTCCCAGACTGTTATTAAATTACCTAATATCCTTAGAGCAGTAATAAGCAAAGAAGGTAGAACTTGTGGATTAGAAGAAGGGGCAGACTGAAATATAATTTATATGAGGTCACTCTCTTCTGGTGGGCCTTGCTATTAATATCTCATTACTATAATGTTGGTGAGTTAACTTTGCTACTAAGAAACCTTTAGTTACCCAGGGGTTATGATACTTCACAGTTGTTATGGGGAATTTTCATTATTGCCTGGAGGAAAGTCAGAAATGTTATCCAGGTGAAGTCTGGTTCACATCTTCCCAAGTCTCAGCCTTACAACCCTGTTAGGATAGCACAGAATGCACCACACTGTTGACACATAACTTACAAAGTTATCCTGTTTGAACCAATGTTTGTATACAGAAGTCAGCATATTCAAGTTTAATTCTTGCCTTATTTGTCATGATCATTAGGAAGCTAATGGTCCTGCAGTGGGTGCTGGGTCTGTGAGTGGCTTTCTTAGATATCTTTGCGTCTTTCACAGTTTTTCCTACTGAAACAGAACCTGCCTGTAAGTTTCTGGCAAAGGAGGATATGGTTGAGAGAGTGAGGACTCTGGGGGTTTTCATACTACTTAAATGCTTTTAAGAATAAATAAAATACCTAGAGGTTGCAGAGATGGCTTCATGGTTAAGAACACTTACTACTCTTGCATAAAACACAAGTTCAGTACCTCTGTGGTAGCTCATAACGCCTGCCCATAACTCCAGTTTCAGGTCACCTGAAGCCCTCTTCTGGCCTTTGTGAGCTTCTGAAAGCATGCAATACACACATGCACGTGCGTGCGTACTCACACACAGAGACACATACAAAATTAAATAGAATAAATGCTGGATTTTTACTTTCATGTCTCTTCCAGCTTTTTGACTCAGTAGTTTAATATTCCCAGGGGCCTGGGGAGTTGGTAAGTGTGTGCACATGCTTCTTTTTTGTTCCTCTCATGTTAGTGTCCTCTTATCTTTCTCAGAGGGTCCTGTTGTAAGCAGTAATGTCTCCATGCCATTGATGTTCAGAGGGGAAGAAATGGTTGAATTCCCACAGGAAGAGTTGCCTGTTAAACTCTCTGAGGGGCCAACTTCCACAGAAAACTTGAATCTGACCAATAATTTCCCAACACATATTTTCGAGCCAGCTGTGATGCTAACACCACCCAGGCAGAAGAGCAACTCAGAATTCTCTCCTCTGCAGGATGGTAAGCATGCTTCTTCTATATTTATATGGAAGCTGTGATTTTTTTTCCCCTTCACTTATATGATAAGTGTGTTTGTGTGTATATGTGTGTTGTACATATATGTGAATACACACACATACATACATAAATACACACACATTAATGCACATGTATTTTTAGGGTAGTTTTCCTGCACCCAGCCATCACTCTGAAAATCACAGGATAACTTGAAGGAGGAAGGACTTGCATTTGTTTCCTGGGTTCCGAGTCTGTGGCCAGCTATCTCTGTTCTTTCTGAATGGTGGTAGAACAAAGCATGGCAGAGGAAAGCCTCTCACCTCATGATAGCCAAAACAGAGAATGAGAAGGACCTGAAAAAGTACTCTTCAAAGACATGCCGCTGCTGACCAGTGTGTGTGTGTGTGTGTGTGTGTGTGTCTGTGTGTCTGTGTGTCTGTGTGTCTGTGTCTGTGTGTTGTGCATACAAATGTCCATGACACACATATGGAGGTCAGAGGAAACTTGTGGTAGTGGGTTCTTGCCTTCCACCATGTGGTTTTTAGGTATCAAATTCAGGTCATCAGGCTTGGTGGCAAGGACTTTAACCCACTGAACTGTGTGTCACTGGGCCTTGAAAAAAATATTTTTAATTATTTTTGTTTGTTTATTTGTGTGTGTGTTGGGGGGTTTCCTTCACCCATGTGAGCCTGTGTGGAGGCCAGCAGTTGACAACATTAACTGTATTCCTTTATCACTCTCCACCTTTTAAAATTTGATTAATGAACTTTGAGAGAGGGGAATAGGCATGTGGATGCCAGGGCTTGTATATGGAGGTCAGAGGACAGCTCTGGGGAGTCAGTCATCTCTGGGATGTCAGACTGGAACTCCAGCCTGTGTGCTAGTGACTTCTGCTGAGACAGCTTCCTAGCACCTTTTTTTCAATGATGTTTTTCAGACATTGTCAGCAGTGGCGTGTCTTTGAAGAGTGTACTTTTTCAGTTCCTTCTCTTTTTTTCATGATTGTACATATTTTGCATAGATTTTTATTTCTTTAAAAATTACAATTGTTTTCTTGTAGAACAGTAGAAGCTAAGTTTTATCATCTTCAGATTTTCTGTATTTTGATGTGTTTTCAGTAAAGGAACTGAAGAAGTTCCAGAGGTTAAAGAAAGTGGCAAATCCTTGTTACTAGAATTGTACTTTACTGTTTCTACAGCAAATAGGTCATTGTCAGATCAGTGTGGTGGAAATGGAGATGGTGCTGGTGCCTTGCCCACTCCTGATTCACTAAGACCCTCTTCTGGACCCCAGCTTGCTTATTCTAGCATGTGGGAATTTTTTTACTTTAATGTTTCTTCTAGCTTTCTAACTCAGTAGTTTACTATTTCTTAGGATTCTGGGGAGTTATTAATTATGTCCAGAATAAGAAAGTAAGCTTTGAGTTGTGATTTTTGTCTATATTAGATTTCTATTCCTTACAGTAATTATTCAAATTCCACCCCCCCACCCCCTACCTTCCCCCACACCAGTGTCTCACTATGCAGCTGGCCTTAAACTCAAGATCATTCCTTCTCATTTGTGATTGCAGGCATGCATCACTGTTTCTGAGTAGGAGGTACATGTGTCAAAGTACGTTAAAAACTATTGTGACACATTTTTTCCCACAAGAGTGCTAATCAGTGGTCTCAGGAATATGAAAGTTTCTGCATATGATTGCACATATTCCTTTATGAGAATACTTTAGGCAGTCAGAAGCTAAACCCTTCTTTTATATGCTTCCTTATCTACTATGACAGCATGGTACTGTGGTTATAGTACTGACTGACTGGAAAGTAAGACGCTTACGACTGTTTTAAACTTCTTCCGTATAGTACTGAGGAGAACTGTTCAGACTCGTCCGGCTCCACGAATTCCTCCCACTGTGGAAGTCATAGAGAAGGAGCAGAACTGGGAAAAGAAGACCCTGCCTACTGATCCAGACATTCAGAACTCAAGTGAAGAAAACCATCTCTTCACTCAGAGGTGGAGAGTCTCTCACATGGGCGAAGACCTGGAGAACAGAGGCCAGCCACCATTTGTTAGCCTGTCACAGCCCCCTTGCAGTTCCCTGCCCAGCACTCAGCAATCGAGAAACCCCATGTTCTCAGAGGAGCCCACAGTGCTAGGAGATGGGCAGCAGCTTAGAACAACGGAGGCACTGGTGCAAAAGAAGGACATAATGGCCCGGATTGCTGAGCTGACACTACAGAATTCAGCCATCAAGGCTCACCTGAACAATATTACCAGCTCAGGGGGAGAGCAAGGTGATGGACTTCGGGAGTCAAGCAAACAGGGAAGTGCCAGCGAAGTGCCTGCTGTAAGTATCAGCTGAGACTGACTGGGAACACTGTTAGAGCTGTCACTACAGTCTAAAGGGACTGCTAGGGACTAAAGATTTGTTTTTGCTCACAGTTTGAGCGGGGTTACTCCCTGAGGCAGAATCTATTGTTCTACTCCTTAGGTTAGACAAACAGACTCTCATGGTGGCTGGAACACATAGATAGAGGCCACTATTTCATGGTGGCCCAGTGGGTCAGAGGGTCAGAGGGTAAGGTATATCTCTTTAAGATGTGCCCAGGTGATATAATTCTTCTAGCTAAGTTCTATCTCGTCCCTGTCATTGCCTACCCATAATAATATTACGTTGTAGATCCTTCAGAGGATCAATCTTTCATTAAAGCCCTCAGGAACCAGTCACTCCCCAAAGCCCATGAGCTGGTAAGCAAGGCCCTAGTAAATGAATTGATATATTTCATACTCAAGCTATAACAGACATCCAAGAGGTTTCTTTTCCGAATTGACTCTGTATAGCTTTAATATATCTTCCTTACAAGATAGATAAAACCTACCTGTTAGTTTGTTTTGCAACATAAAAGAAAAAAATACATGAATGCAGAAAACAGAACTAAGGAAAATGTGAGAGGGCTGAGGATAAGCTAGGAATGAATGATACGGAATTAGGAGGTCCTAAGTGCTTGCTGCACAACTGGATTTTAATTAGAAGTACTTTACTCTTAACATGGCCTGTTAAAGAGTAGTTGGCCCTTAACTCTTGAGTAACTTTTTCTAGGGCTCAGAATGAGTTTTCCTATAGAAATTACATTTAAAGAATCCGTTAGACTTTAATGTGCATGTGAACAGTCTGAGGACCCTGCTAAATGATGTAGTGCCTGACTGAGCAGGCCTGGGACTTGGTCAGTTCCCTTGTTATGCGCCCTGCCCTGATGCCAGAGCTGCTTTTAAAAACAAATAAATTTAAGAAAAAAACAGAAAAACAAAGAAAGACCCCTAACTGTTCTTAGTCCCCACTGGATAAGCCTCCCTGCTCCTAGTTACTGTTTCCCAGCTCTGTAACCACTTATCTGCTCCTAGCTTCGGCGAGGTCAGCTTACAGGAGTAAGAGCATGTGGAGTTGTCTTTCTGTCAATGAAGACATTTTATAAATAAAGTCTGCTGATTAATCTGATCACTTAAATTTTTCTTTCATCGTTTGTGGGGAGAACTGTGAATCTGAGTCCCAGATGGGAGTGTCCATGACACATCCTGGTCACAGAGGGTCCTTTATTTGACCCTTTTTGAACAAAAGTGATTCCTGTAAGGATCTGACACTGTTCCTGCTGTCGGAAGGTATGGGCAGCCTGGGGATAGAGGGTTTCTGAGATAGCTGCGTTCCTAAGAGCTTTCAAATCATGACTGAGTGTCGAGGAAAGTGGGAGGTGGAAGTAGGTTATCGTTGGCTCAAGAGTGCAAGCCAGGAAGAAGCAAGCAGTGGGCAGCAGCCATGTACAGGCACAAGTTTGTTTGCATATTACATTATATGTTTGTAGAGTTTTGAGGATCATTTGAAACAGATCACTATCCCTTTTAAAAAGGTAACACAATTAAATGTTGAGCCTGTGCCCTTTCTAAATATTACAAATACTAGCCTGGAAAGGGAGGTCCGATACTGCTGCCTTTACTATCCCTTTTCTATTTTAATTGGAAATACAAATTGACTCTTATTAGTTTACTTATCTTTTAAAAAAATAAACAGACAAAAAGCAAAAAAATCAACAGTTCAAATTAGTAATTTCTAATGTAACTAAATAGAATTATTATGAATGGTAAAAGTAGATTTTTCTTGTCTTTTCAAATTAAACTTACATTGTATCTCCAGAGTAGTTTTTTTGTTTTGTATTGTTTGGGCTTTTACTCTCTATGTAGACTATTTTACTGTCTTATCCTCCTTTCTAATCACAGATATTCTTGAATCAGACTTCTGAAGTTATAAGCAAAGGAATAGTATTTTTACGAGTCTTTGCAACATAATTCATGAACATTGTTTGAAGATTAAAGTTTTAAAAACATTCTTTTCAGACTCAGAGATATTTCTGTGTAGTCTGTCCTCGTTCTACTCTATCATCTATAGGACACTTACCTCACTGGCAGACATGTCTTTGCTCTTGTGATTCATAGTGTCTGTCTGTCTGTCTGTCCGTCCGTCTGTCCGTCCGCCCACCTCTCTGTGTCTCTCTCTCTCTCTCTCTCTCTCTCTCTCTCTCTCTCTCTCTCTCT